ATCTAATTAACCCCAGACAACAGGAAGCCCCTTCCAGACTCTGCAGCTAAACCCTAATGTAGACATCTTCAGTCCTCCCAGAAGTCACATTCTAGACATGAGTGTCAGCAATAGGGGTGATCTAGTATGAAGGAAGCCACAGGAATTTGATGATAAGGCACCATGTGAAGCACACAGAGCACAGTTTGAGTTCCAGGCAGAAATGAATGGATGAACAGAGGAGCAGAAAGCAGTGTACCTGGCAACGAGCTTGAAGGGACAACCACTGGAAATACTTGGACAGTTGTCAGCAGGTGACAGGCGCAACTATAGAGCACTGGTAGCCCTAGAAATCAGGTATGGAACTCAAAATCTGTCCGAAGTCTACAGGGCTAGGTTTAGGACAATAGTCAGTGCTAAAGGGGAGAGCCTGCAAGAGCTGGCACAGGATTTGGAAAGTATGGCACACAAGGCCTACCCAACAGTGCCACCCAATGTCCACAAGTTGTTGCTGAGGGATCAGTTTGTAGATGCCTTGGACAATCCACAACTGAAGATACAAGTAAAGCAAGCACACCCCTCTACTATGCAGGATGCAATAGCCAGAGCTCTTGAATTCAAATCCTACATTAAGTCCAGTACAGAGGTACCACAGTACAGTCATCAGGATTCAAGGCCAGAAAAGGGCAGCTTTCAGAGAAGTTTGAGGGACTTTCCTGGCACTGTAACAAACCTGGGCACAAGAGAGCTCAATGCCGGCAACTTCAACACAGGAAAATGCCACAGCAGGAAAGGCTGCTTCCCAGGAAGGTTGTTGGAACTGTGGAGAGCAAGGAAATATGAGGAGCCAGTGTAACAAGAACACTACCAATAAGCCTTGGCGAAACCAGTAGTGGTTGGTGTTGAGGGACGCTCACCAACCCCATCATGAAAGTCCCAACAGCTAAGTGTAAAATGGAAAGCCCACATAGTATCTACATAACAAACGAGCAAATACATAACAGTACAATATGAGTAAGTTAAGGTAGTTAATACTAGCACCCAATACAATGTACAATATGAGTAAGTTAAGGTAGTTAATACTAGCACCCAATACAATGTACAATATGAGTAAGTTAAGGTAGTTAATACTAGCACCCAATACAATACAATATGAGTAAGTTAAGGTACTTAATACTAGCACCCAATACAATGTACAATATCAGTAAGTTAAGTTACTTAATACTAGCACCCAGTACAATGTACAATATCAGTAAGTTAAGGTAGTTAATACTAGCACCCAATACAATGTACAATATCAGTAAGTTAAGGTACTTAATACTAGCACCCATTACAATATCAGTAATATTGTAAGGACATATGAGCAGCCAGTGTAAGAAGAATACTACCAATAAGTCAGCTTCGGGAAACCAGTAGTGGTTGGTGTTGAGGGACGCCCACCAACCCCCATTGTGAAAGTCT